GAAATTTAAAGTTAATTTAAAGTTATCTTTTTTAATGTGAAGGTTATTTTAGGATTTTTTTTTTTTCATTAAAGGATTTAGGTTACCTGCACTGGCTTAAGGTCTAGCTGGTTATTTTGTGTTTTAATTTTCTGCTTATCTTGAAAACTAAACATTAATTATAGTTGAAGTTTTCTTAAGTTTTCTGTGTTTAATGTCAAATGTTAAAAACTTAGGCACACAATCTCCTTGCTGTGACACCTAATGCCAGGTCAGGGTTCATCATCTTCAAAGAAAGGGAATGCCTCTGTTGGTCTTTCATAAACATTTCATTTCCATGATATTTTTCTTTTGTGGGTTTTTTCTTTGTTTTTTTTTCTGTTTTTTTACATGCTTAAAATCAAGAATATTAAGATCTGACTGTAGCTGCTAACAGCACTGTCAGCCTCATTACATATAGTTTGTGAGACGACAAGTCAACAATAAATATCCATTGCTACGTTTGCATTCTCCATACAGGATTTTCCCAATCAAGCAAAGTGACCTACATTCATACCTAATGTCTTCAGTCTGAATCACAGCCCTATGGCTCTTCCATACTGAGTGAAACTGTAAGTGAAAAATAAGCGCATATTATTAGGCAATGCCTTGCTCACATGCTTAAACTCCCATTTTCTAAGTGATGACATTAAAACCAAGATAGACCTTAACATTAAGATTTAAAATGCTACTTATTAAACTGAGAAAAGCACTTCCCATTCTGCTGGAAACTCCAAGTCACAGGGAGGCCACAAAATCAGAAGTGACAATGGGAAAGTAGGATCCCTGTCCATATCTTCCAGCTCCCTTAGTTTTGGTTTCTTCATAGACCTTTTCCCTCCACACAAGCACTCTAGTCCACATTCTAGAGTTTTGGGGGATCACCCTTTTAGACCACATTTACTTTTAAGAAGGATAGGGTTTGAAAATACAGTTCTTCAAAACAGAAGCAGATACTGCACAAAGGCAATAGATAAAAATGGTTTAAAACCTGGCTCCAGTCCATCCTCAGCAAATGGAGTTTGAATTTCAATGAGAATTAGATTGGCTCCGGTACGAATTTGAGGTTTTGTGTTATTTGTAAAATGAGATGCCCATTCTCCTTGGCCATGTCATTAACAAAAATCCAAGCAAAAATCAGTTCTCTTTTCCATCTCATTGTGGAAACAGGGGAGAAAACTTTCTGCATGGTTCATTATGGCTGACTGCAATTAATAGCAACACCTTCAGGAATTTCAAACAGCTCTGAAACATATGAGTACTTGCACAACAACCTGTGCCAAAGGAGACAAGCTGCGCTGCGAGGCCACTGGCCACTGGGCAGGGTCAAGATCTGGCTGAGCAGGTCAGCCAGCCACCTTCATATCACAAGTGCTGGGCAGAGTGTCAGGTAATCATGAAAAGCAGTAGGCCATCACTTTCTGCCCCTATATTTTTTTGCAACAGTTTTTCATGTCACTTCATCTTTCCCTGCAAGCCAAAGCCAGATGTAACACTGTTTTTACTGCCATGAAGAATAATAAAAGAGATGCCATTAGTCTTTAATTTAAGGCTTATGACACAGAAAATTTTAATGGGAGTTAAATTAACTATTGACATTTATCACAATAATTTGTTCTGCAGCCTCTGACCTGCAAGACAATAGCAGGATAATAAAGGCTTCACGGTATGACCGAACAGGGAGAAAAAATCGTCAGTTATCAGATATAAGTGAGTAGCCTGTCAAATGTGAGACCTTCTTGTTTTACAGACACAGGAAATCCAGTGATGACTATTTTATCTTTGATATATACTCTCATACATGCAATAACATCAGTTTTCACACCCATTCATTTCACAAGACTATACAAAATGAGGTCCTGAAAAGTCTTTTTAGAGGTAGAAAGCTAAATTGCTACTGACCATCATGGGATATAAAACAGGCAGCATGACATCCTCATGAGAAAAATGCTTTGAAAACTTAAAAGAGGATTTAAATATGCAAGATCAGCTTCAAAAATACTTCCGATATAAACCAACTGTGTTTTAAAAAAATTTAGACAGTGTAATATAAAGGAGACCTGAGACAATAAGGGACAGAATCCTTTTTATTTAATGTTTCTTCCAAGATTGCTGCGAAAAATTGGAATATTGTGTATTTCCTTTCAAAATAATTTAAATATTTCAAATAATTTTTAACACCAGCTATTATTAACACATTACAGGTAGATATATATTCCTCCAGTATAATTTCACTGGATTTTGCATCGTGGGTTGGTAAAGGTAGGGGGCTTTTATATGAATAAAAGCATAATACTACAGCATATATCTGCTAAATGCCTTAATTCTGGAATTCTCTAATTAAAATGTTGGTATCATATCAACAAGACAGAGCTTGTGTAGCCCAGGAGCAAAAATATGCTAATAAATATTCTCCTCCTACCTTACAAACCCTGTGGCTTTGCATTCTTGCAGGAAACCTCAACTATTAGCATGACTCTACACAGGACTTTATGCCCAGATCCTTGCCTAAGACTGTTCTGTAAAAGTGTGGCCCAATCGAAGCTATTAGTGCAAGCTGGCTTTAACATCACAGGGCAGGATAACTATGGTATGTTAAGACAAGCATTAGCTGACTTTTTCACAATAACATTTTCCCAAACGATGGAAGCTAAACAGACAGATGTTAGCATTAAATCCTGTGTTTAGGCACCAAGTGGTATTTATTTAAATATACTTTTTCCTAATTATACAATCATGTGGAGAGGGCGGAATGATGAAGCCAATCACATAGGCCTTAATTAGACCAAATTCTACTGAATTTAAGATAATTTCTTCCTTTTTAAGAACTCAAGGCTCAGATACTTCATCATGCACCCAGCAGTTGATCATTATTTTTCCCTTGAAGCCTGATTAATTGCTCATATAATGTAACTTTTTTCCTGGCTTGTGTAACTGAACTCCTTTTCTTATGTGTCATGTCATTTTTTATTACCTATATAAGCTACTGGCAACAGCATCCTCCTGTATCAGCAGTTTCTATGGATTAAATAAATGTTGCATGAAAATGTGTTTCTTTATCTGTTTTAAATTTGTTGGCTTTTTATTTCGATATCCCTTTGTACTTTTGTTATGTGAAAAAGCTATGCATTTGATTGAGCTTCTCCATACCAGTTCATATTTCATACACTCCTAACATGTTTTATTGTGTCCTCCTTCCTTAACTAGGTCAGGCAAGCCTTATAAAATACCTCTTTGCTTAGTAGCCCCTCTGCCTCTAATAATTCCCATTGCCTTCTGCCATATCCTTCTGCTGTAATGTAACTAATTCAAGGTTAGGAGAAAGATATGTTTCTGTTTAGATAACACAAATTAAATACTTACTGTGTTATTTTGTGTTATTGTCTGATATATCCCACTACTTCACTTGCTCTGATTGCTACTGCAAAACATGTCCACCCCTACCGAACTGACCCTAGGTGCCTCATAACCCTATGTCTTACTTCCAAAAGCCAACGTATTTTAGTGAATTCAATTGAGAGATGAAAACTTAACAACAAAACACTCCAGCTCGGACTGCTTTCTACAGCTTATGTTTTCTCACCCACAGAGAGCCCATGGCTCTGGCTGTGGTCCTTATGCATCATCATACATATACTGTCAAACACTTGACCCCAGAGGCACTGGAAACCCAGACACTGCCTAAGTAAGTGCTTCTACACATACATGTTTACAAGAATTAAGTTAAACAAGTATCCAGAAGCCTGAGGGTAGTAATTATTTCTATTCCACAATTTAGAACTACCCATTCCTATGCTCAGTATTTAGCATCAGACCTATTTGCATCACTTACTGAGGTACTGGTTATTTCTGTCATGTGGGTGCCCATTTCTCTTAACACAGAGGTTACCTTTTTTACACTAACCAGGTAAAAATGTTACCTATGATTACAGCTTCTTTGCCATAAATTACTTATTGTTCTCAAAAGCCTGTTTGCTTTGGAGGTAGGGAGAAAGGGTTGTTTACCTAAATGAGGAAGCAGCCTATAATTGTGTCAGTAGTTTTCAACACATGATTTATGTAAGAAAACCAAAATCCAATACTCTAACAGTATTGAAAAACTGAAAGTATTTACAGTTTTATTTAGGAGTGATTAATTTTAGGTTAAGATACTGCTTTCTCAAGGTGCTTGAATTTTTATGTATTTTTGATCCATATTTCACTTCCCACAGCGTGGGTAGATAAATGCAGAAATACATATAGTGTGCTGTGTTTAACTCCTCTGCTGCCCTTTGCTAAACATGTTATGATAACACTATTCACATTCAGCCCTTAAACTACCACTGCCCTTAAACCTCCAGTTTTAGACAGACTAAAGGGTAAGTAAGTCCTATCTCATATTGACCTCTAGCAGCGAACCCAGCGCTAAACTCAAGGGTAGAAATGGTGTCAGCAGTAGCAGCTGCCCCGCAGCCTGCCCAGTGCATTCATGGCTGGTCTTTTCTGGTACATGTGGATTTGAAACTCCTTGACACCGGCAAGTTCTCAAAATGCCAGAAGATTTCCTAAGCAATATCATAATAGAACTGTAACATATGGGTATGTACCTTACAATTTTCTTTTTTCTTTTCTTTTTAATTCCTCTCTTTAGGAGGGGATCTGGGGGATCTGAGAGGGGTGGGGGTACTCTGATATTATTGCTCATCAATAAGACAAAAGTGGCTAATCCACTGCTTTTCAGACACACCATCATACCTCTTGGAGATCCCACAACTGGAGAGCGTCATTTGTTCGTGATCTGATAACATCGTTTGCAAACCCAGGAAATTAGATATGGAGCAATCTTCCAAGGGAGATCACACTTAGCTCTGTTGTATTTAATTCTCAGAGACCAAAATCCACACATTATTTTTGAGAAAACCTTTCATAGAAATAACAAGCTGAATATAACAAGAAAAAAGGAGAAAAGGAAGGACAAAGTAATTGACCTCATTCATTATTACCTCTCATGGCCCCTCTTCACATCTAGTTTTGTAAGGCATTTCAAACGTTTCAGTGAGAAATTCTTCTGAAATATCGTAGTCTAGATTATATTTGTAGTATGTGATGAAAAATGAAAGTTAGATACCTAAAGAGAAGAAAATGCAGTTAGACACCTGTGCGTGGCACCTGTCTGAGGACTGAGGGCATTTCTAATTGAGACAGTAGACAGCAAGAGGACATCTAAACCCCTCCATCAGGATAAGATGAGGATAGCTTACTGTACCAAAGGGACACTTTTCTACTCTCCCACACCCTCAGTTTGCTCAGGTTTCAGGGACAGGAAACCAAGGCACTTGGATTAGGAATGACCAGTGGCACTACCTGGCTAGACTGGCAATGCACATGGCCAAGAAAGAGAAAGGGATTTTAGAGTGCACTGGAAATCCACCATTTATGGATTTTCACTCTCTTCCCTTAGATTACTTACAATTTTGTTTTAGTCTAAGGTACTTGGAGGGTACAGATAGGTATGCCTCTGAGGCTATAAATCTCCAACAGTAAAAGATGAACAAACCCATTAGAAGCAGCTCAGTGAGCAATGACCAGGATAAAGAGGAACTCAAGAAACAGCAGGCAGGTATATCTAGGGCTACTTTCTCTGCAGAAAAAGAACCACATTGAAAAGCAGAATTTCTGGCCTTTTTCGAAAATCCAAAAGAAAGAGTGAAGATAAACCATTAAAAAAGGAAATGGTAAAATTCTTAATTTTCTGTTGTTTGTTTAATTAAGTTGTATTGCTTTTATACAGAATTTTTCCAATATCTGTTCTGGAAAAATCCTCAGATTATTTATAATTTTTGTTTTGAAATACAAGAGAAAGTTTTTGAACTCATAGAACACTTTTACTTCTGGGGGGGGGAAATGTTGACAAAAACAAACAAACAAACAAACAAAAAAAAACCCCATAGAAGTATTTTTGTGGTTCTTTACTGGCTGACTGTGGCTGGTTTTCTTTCATAAATATTCACAATCCTTTAAAGTCCTCTTTGTAGATCTAAGAGAGGAATTCTGGGGTTCGTGTGTGAAAAAAATAGATTTGGATACTCCTGAGAACAGAAGAAGCCTACCAGAAGTGCTGTCTAAGGCAGCTGTCATCTTAGTTCTTGTTCCTGGAAAAGAAAAAAAAAAAAAAGACCTTCACCTTTTGTGGAAATAAACATAAAGTTGCATCTAGAAACAACAGCTATCAAAGTGATGAAACCCAGTTTTCTGGGGCAAATTCACACTGCATTGAATCTCATACTTGTGAGACCCCACTTGGAGTACTGTGTGCAGTTCTGGTGTCCTCAACATAAAAAGGAAGTGGAACTGTTGGAACAAGTCCAGAGGAGGGCCACGAGGATGATCAGGGGACTGGAGCACCTCCTGTATGAAGACAGGTTGAGAAAGCTTGGGCTGTTCAGACTGGAGAAGAGAAGGCTGCGTGGAGACCTCATAGCAGCCTTCCAGTATCTGAAGGGGGCCTATAAGGATGCTGGAGTGGGACTTTTCATCAGGGACTGTTGTGATCGGACAAGGGGTTTCAACATAAACAGGGGAAATTTAGGTCAGATATAAGGAAGAAATTCTTTACTGTGAGGGTGGAGAGACACTGGAACACACTGCCCAAGAAAGCTGTGAGCTCCCATCCCTGGAAGTGTTCAAAGGCCAGGCTTGACAAGGCTTTGAGCAACCTTCTTGTGGGAGCCAGTTTATGCCAATACTTGCAGCTTTTAATCAGTTCACCATACAAACATAAACATTTAGGGCCGAACACTCTCAGCATATGCATAAAAAAGATTAAAAATAAATAGATGACAGAAAGGACAACCCCAACTCAGTGACCCTGCAGGTAGCTACAACCAGGCAGGACATTTGCTTGAACAAACAACTGCAGTAATTTAAAAGATAAGATTTCATGTTGGCTGTCAGGAAGGTAATCTCATCTATACAGCAGGTACTCTCCAGATTGTTTTATTCACCATCAAGAAGAGGAAGTTCATACCCTGTCTCTGGGCTGGCTGCCATGTAAGAGGTGTTGAGCAAGACGACCAGAAACTTTAAGTCAAGATACACACATGGGTAAGAAAGCAAAAACAAGAGAGAAAGCCAGCTTAGGAATCCAGAAGAAACAAAGTCCGCTAAACTTCCTCTGATCTTTGAATATCACAAAAACATACCACCTAAAGAGATGATAGTCTTTTTCTTAATACAACCTTATGGAGGTTTGCTGAATGACACAATGGAAATGAAGATTCTTAGGTCCTCTACCTTTACAAATCCAAATCAATCAATTTTATAGCCCAAAGAGAATACAAATAGTAATAGTGCAGTAATCACTTCTGCACAAACACCCCCATAACTATATGGGTAAATCTATATTATTCATTTGAACTAACAGAAATAAAGAGTATCTTACAACCTTGTTGTAAGAAAACACTGTCATACAATCAATTTCCCCCTTCTTTGCAATCAATAACTTTGCTTTACCTTGGTTTCTCTAAACTGGCAGGATATCATTGCCTTGTGACAGCATTCTTCCATTCATACCTCAACTCTTTAGAAACTGTAGAAACACTCCACTGGCCAGAATTTACCAGTAAATATTTACCTAAGATGAAAAAATAAAGTCCCAATAGCCATCACCGTTTAAGCCGTCTAACTTGAGCAGAAGCATACTTCTTGAAAGAGACTTGTTTTAATGAAGAACAGTATGACGGGGAGGGGCAGGGGTGGAAGAAAAAAGAATCTTTTGTCGAGTTAAAGCATGCTTGCTGCTAAATAGCCTCTTTGTATAATTAGGATTTGCAAAATGGCAAAACACAATCCAATTAAGTGAGTTAGGTTCATGTGATTAACATTAGACAGGCAGTATTGCTCTCATCGTTCATCAGTAGCTTCACTAATTAGGACATTGCTAAGCAGAGACGTCTGACCTTGCCACAGCCAGTTCAGACTATGGTTTACCCTTCTGAAGCCTGCATCAGCCTCACTGCTTGCTTCTTTCCTCTTTTTCTTCATTGGTGGACAATTTCCTGTGATATTCTGTTCCTTCTGAAAGTTGTCCTACCAGTCATCAACCATCACCAAATAATTAGTGCCTCCCTGTTCACTGACTGAAGAACAAAAAAATAAAATAAAATAAAAAAATCAGAGCTTTCAAGAGGGATATTTTTTTGCTCATACTCTGAACTCATTACAGTATTAAAATCAGTTCAGGCTAAGTAGAAAAGCAGCCAGGAAGCAATTTTAAGTTTCAAGTAGGAAAAAAAAAATGAAATAATCTTTGCCTACGAAATAGTAATCACACAAGTCGAAATAGTGTCACGAATGTTGCTCAACAGCAGCTCCCTGGTAGAATAGATTGGTTACTGCAAGGGAAACAGTATCTGTGGTTCCAAGTCTTGACAGCATCCCTGACCCATCACAAAAGGACGCTGTAGTTACCGATTCCTTTGCTTCATCTCCTGCTGCAGGCAGCTTTCCTTCCTGCGCTGTTGTGTGACTACAGCCCTTGTTATCAAAGGCCAATTATTTCTGCTAAATAAAAAGGAAAAAAAAAAGAGAAATAAGAGTTTCTAGATACTGTCTTACATGTTATAGCTTTGTGGCTAAGTGCCTCTAAAGAGACAAAGTGACAACCAGCAGAATAAAAGAGTTTGGAAGGTACATTCAACTTTGTGATAGTCATGAATCAGTCACTGGTAAACATAATATAGAAGCTCTAAGTATCAAGAGCAAATGTTATACATTTTAATTTTTGCTAAAGCAATTCAGCAAATCATAAATAGAATTGTTTTCTAATATATAGAACTTATAGAGCACAAAGCACTTCTATTTGAATCAGGTTTTCCATTTGACATCAGAATTCTTTTCTATATATTTCCCAGGACTGACTGCTATGCTGCAGAAATAAAAACACTGATTAAAAATCAACTGTAGGTCTTCAAGGATAAACCCCAGCAGCCTAATTCCCATTACAACTGTGTCTATGAAATTAAAAGTAGGGACAGGTTAAATTAAAGTTAGGGACAGGGATGAATTAAGCAAGTTAGTGGAAAAATGAAACCTCTAAATAGAAAAGAACACTAAATATGGGATTAGGAAGGATTAAGTGACAGAGCTGGTGATGACAGGAAATTTTACTCAATAGCTCTTGAGATCCCTTTTGTCCTGTATTTCCAACCTTTCCAGGAAAGATTCAAGCAAATTTCACTGCTGCACAGTCTGCTCTCAGCAGTCTGTTCAGTTTCTCATCGCACCAAACTAATTTACAGTTGATGTAAATAATTTTTCAAAGAAAGTACACGCAGTGTACCATGCTCTCCATTCCATTCCTTCCTGTGCTTTTCCCTGCTCTGCTCCTTCCTATGTATCTTTTCAGCCATTAGAAACACAAATGCCAAAGATGCTAAATTTCTCATGTGTGGAGCAATGGTTATTCTCACGAGGGCCTGCACAACCCAGGATTAGAACTGAGTGAGACAGCCTTGAACTCTTTCTGACTCAGCTGAGCTGGGGAGGCCTGGAGTCGAAGAAATGTAAGCAGAACGCTGAAACAGGAGCTTGCTGGCCACAAGGAATGCACCGCTTATCACAAGGCATGCACCCTGCTGTTGTAGAGATATGTGTGTAAAACTTAGCTTAGCCAATAGCAATGTATAGACAGGCGCGTGACACTCATGGACCCTGTAAATTAGTTCCTGGTTTGCTTCCTAGAGCAAGGCATATTTTCAGACACTATGGCAGTGCTTCAGAATATTACTGCAGTAGTAAAGCTTGTCAGAAATCCTCTGTGTAGATCTCCACAAGAAGGAAAGGCTTTTGTTTGTGGGTTTGTTTTTTGTTGGGCTGGTTTTGGTTTTTGGTGAGGTTTTTTTAATTTTTATTTTTAAAATAAAATCCATTCCCTCTGCTCTCCAGTGATATCAAAAAAGTATGACAGAGGCTAATTCCAGTTCCAGTTAACACCTAGAAACGGAATTCAAGCACAATGAGTAGTACTTTGTTCACATTTCAGTGATAAAGAAACTGCTTAAGCTAAAATGCTTTGCTAGCACTCAATCAATTTCTGTAATAAATAAGTCAAAAATATCTCTGTTTTTCAGGTACTTGACTATAAGCTTTGAAAGCATTCAATAGTTTAATTTCGGGGGGGAAATTTCTTAAACTGTGTGCCCACATATATGTATACAAATATATACCTGCAAAATAAGTCTTGTGATGACATTGAAAAGAAAATTAATTTCAGGCTGCAGAACAGATGAAGAGATAGACACGGTAACATGATATACAAAACTACTTGCTGTTTAATGTACGGGTTTTTTTAAACATGTTAAGTGATACATATACCAGTTCGTGCTTATTGTCCTGAATGCTGAGAGATGATGCATTTGAGTGAGTGAAATGATCCCAGAAGCTTCACTTTCCACAGAGAACCATGCACAGGGGTTACAGGGTGATTGATTGTGCATCTTTGCTTGCAAGTTATTTGAAGGATCACAGTACTTGCTGTATGACAAGCACATTGTGTCTATTTCTGTTGCCACCAAGGAGCAGAATTAAGGTTGTGTGGATCCATTTGTAGTGTGTTTCAACCTTGGATTTAATTTGAGTTATATCATTTCAGCTTCTATCTGTATGATTTATAATGGATTGCATTTGGGATAATTAAACCTAGACATAAAACTCTCTTTTAAATTGTAG